ACAAGGTGCTGGGAATGTACTCCCTGGGGACAGAGAGGAAATCAATGGTCTATTTTTTTCCCAAGTCTTGCATGGCCCCACACCAAGCAAGCACAACCTTTCAGAAAAGGTTGGCTGATGTGAGCAAGGAAAACCCTCCCTAGAAAGAGCTGAAGGCTTTTCTTGGGGAGGTGCTCTGTCCTGCATTTTATACTCCATCTTTTAGAAAGGTTGTGCAGTCCAGACAGGTATTCAGAGAAGGTAGCACAGTTTGAGGCTTTCAGTCCATCACCGTCTCACCCATCATGGAGAATCTCTCTCCAAGTTCCCTCGCAGCTCTAGTCTGTGATGGAATGTGACACTAAGCACTCCATCTGTGAAGCTGTTCAACCAGACTTACACGGAAATCAAGTTAGACGGCAGGGCTGGAGCCCATGGAAAACCTGTTGGGACTTTTTGCTTCCTCCAGCAGAGACCAGCAACCAAGAGGTGTAACTTGTGTTGATGGAAGAATAAATAACAACTGGAAGATAAACTTGCCCCTTAACCCTACCTGAAACACCCTCTGCCATTTGCATTAACTTGGCCTCAGTTTCCCCATGAGTACAATGGGAATATTCCCCAGATAAAATTGTTGACTCACTCACAAGAGGAACTACATTGTGCATGGACCCTTCCAGTCACTCAAGAATGGCTACAACCAAACTGTAGAAAGGAATTTTTTTGGCATTGTGAGAATCAGACTGGGATGAATACGCATCAACCTCCGGCTCTGCTACCTGGTCATCCAGACAGCTGCCCCTTGCCTGGGTCTCTGTTTCATATTTGCATGAAGCAGACCTTCCTTGTGTGAAGGATCGGAGGGGGGGCGGGGCTCAACGAAACACCATTTGACAAATGACTGCGATCATTATTTTACCTTTAAAAGAACCTTTGCTTAAGGAAGCAGACATGTTAGAGACACCAAACAAAAACCAACTCTCGCTCAGTGACAATGTATATGGAGAAATGATTCACCTGTCTTTGTGATTTCTATTAATCCCTAGTCAAAAAAAAACAGAAAGACCATTCTATAGTTTTTCATCCACATTCTAGCTCATAATTTCCAAGTCTGAATGGTTAAAAATCCACCAATTTTAATGACACTAGTGAAAACAAGAAATACAATGCACGTATACATTGTAATAAGTCATATATCCTCCACTAAAGAGATCTATGATAAATAGACCACACATTACTCAAAAAGCTTTATATTTATTTCAGTTTAACTTAATAGGTAGGGAAAGGTCTATTAAGTTAATGATGGTGTGGACAGGGAGAAAAAGGCAGGATACAAAGTTATATACACTATTATCCCAACCACATCTCGGTCTTATTTTGGTAAAACCCAGAGCCTTCTCATGGAGCTATACTTTTTACTTTGAGACAGGGTCTTGCTGAGTTGCTAAATTGTCCAGACTGGGCTTGAACTTGTGATCTTCCTGCCTCAGAGTGCTCGAATTACAGGCACGCACCACCACATCAGGCTTTACTATGTTTTAAGTCTTAAATCTCAAAAAGAGCCAGAAAGGAATGTGCAAGAATATCAATAATGTTTTCCTGGAATAATTTTTTTTCTATTCTAAAGACATTTTTACAAGTTTTCCATTTTTTGCAATAAGCCTGCAGTACTTTCACTATTAGAAGATTTTGTTTGGTTTAGTAAAGAGTATGAATTAACCTGAAGTTAAAAGTTTAGAAAACTAGTCTTCATGAAATTTTTTTTTAATTTTAAAGAGAAAAAAAAATTTCAAAACAAGATAATAGGAGGGTAACAATGGTT